TAATTTATCTTCACCTCATAGCTTAACCTTACAACTTAACCTCAGATCTTAACCTCGCAGCTTTAACTCACCAGATTGACTTCGAATAGCTCCAAAGCTTAACCCCACAGCTTAACTTCTCAACTTAACTTCACAGCTCAGCTCTTAAAAATACACGGCATATAAGGGGCTGTTGGGGACATTTCCGACTAGTACACCCCGAGAGTTTGGACTCGAGAATCTGAAGCATTCACGAGTGAGGGGAAGATGGGGGCGGGTTATGGGGGTTGGGGAGGGTATGGGTGCTCGGGGGGGGGGAGAGGGATGGGTGAGGGTTAAGGTGTTACGTGTGCAGCCAGAACGCAGTATGTATTAAGCAAGGACTTAAATATGTAGGTAAAAAAAAAAATATGTGTAGAGTGTGTTACTGCACATTAGTGAGGTATTACCAGCCTATGCTACAAGTCTGAGCAATTCTAAGCATATTTATTTATTTGTTCATTTATCTTATTTCTTTACGCAATTTCAAGTCATCAGGGTGTGACACAGGGATGGGCTGGAGTCTACAATGTGGTGTCCTGTTATGAATGGCTGACTCATGACCCAGTAAATAACGGATACATTTGATTCTATTTACATAACTATTTAAATACACATCAATATTAACTATAACGTAATTTATAATAAAAACATAAAGCGGAAGTCAACTAACTACGGTAATTATAAACAACATTAATGTGTGAATGACAATGATAAGTCAGTGGGCAGCAGTTCCACCTGTCACAAATATTTCCTGTCTGGTTATAGTTTAATACAAGTTACCAAATAGAGCGTCAATGACCCATTGTCTGCTGGACCATGACGAAATGTACCATAGCATGAGGAGAAATAGTGTTTATATGTCTGTTCTGTGTATGTTACAACTATATACTATACCGTATTAATGGTGTAAATATGTGTGTGATGATCAGAGGTGATGCTTCTCCCGTCAAGTAAGTGATATTTGGTTAATTGTGATGTGACAGAAATACGGCTGGCCAGACTATGGACTTGTCTCATAATCCGAGGCACCATCACACCACACACCACACCACACACCATAAAGCCTAGCACTATACTATCGTCTCTTGGTGATAAATAAAGTGGTAGATTTATACTGCGTCACCAACTGTTTCAGCCTCACATTGTCCACGGCAGGAGAGGTATTATTCACTCCACGTTAGGTGAATGTAAAGCGTCCATAATACACCACTTAATCTATGTACACGTTGCCGGACCAGGTAATGGGTTAAATTATATCACGTTGCTTTAAAATATTGTGATCCCAGGCTACTGTGTGCACCTCTCCTCTCACGGAGTAACTCACAGGCTTCGGATTCACGCTCCGATACTTTCGGGGTTCAGACCTCATGGGTGGGTGGATTGACAACGCTGAGTGTACCAGTCGTAAATGTCGCCAACCGTATGTGAGATTCAAGAAGTTTAAGGAGCACTTGCCGATCGTTGTATCAGACAGTAAACTCTATAATTCCCAAATCTCGACTTTTTTTTCTCAATACCATGTGGCTGCTAGCAGTGCATGTGGGACTTTGTCAAACACCTTAGAAAAATCCATGCGCAACATAACCAAACTTAACCTAACCTCACCTAACCCTCAGGTAGCGTTATGTTGTTTAATTATCAGGTGAAACAAGTTGTGGTACCTAATCTTCAGGTGAACCAATGCTTATGAATGGTGTGCTACCTTAGTACCAATAGGCCATAGAATAAATAAAAAATAGTAATGTTTCAATACTTACTGGAACCAATTAATTAGCGGGCAAAAACGAATGCAATTAATTCAAGGATCATTAGCAAGACTAATTACTCGAGATACAGCCGCTTGGTTTTTGAACTTTAGGGTCCTGACTCAGCCTAGTGTGAAGAGGGGTGGGGAGTGGAAGGGGTGGTGGAAGGGGTAGAGACGGAGGAGGGGGTGGTGGGGGTATAGTGGAGTGGAGGAGGTGTTGGAGAGGGTTCAGAGGAGTGGAGGAGATGTTGGAGGGGTTCAGGGAGTGGAGGAGGTGATGGAGGAGATACAGTGGGTGGAAGGGGTAGTTGAAGGGGTTGGGGAGGGTTGGGTAGGGTGGGTGGGATGGGGTGGAAGGGATAGTGGAAGGGGAAGAGGAGAGTTAAAGGGGTAATGAAGGGGATACAGATGAATGGAAAGGGGGTACAAAGGAGTGGAAAGGGTACAGGGGTGGGTAGAAAGGGGGATGGAAGGGGGATGGAAGGGGATGGATGGTGAGAAAGTGACTAAGTTAAGAGCTGGAACGAAATTAATGCAAAAAAATAAAAAAAATAAACGAGTTTCTTGATCGTCTTTTCTTTTTTCATCTTGAATTTAGAAATTAATTTGTTTACTAAAGTTTGTTAATGTTTTTTCACTCTCAGTCCTGCCTGATAGTATCTACAGCACTACCACACTGCATCCACACCCCTTCCATACCTCTTCCACATCCTTTCCACTCCCCTTCTATACCTCTTCCACACCCCTTCCACACCTCTTCCACATTCCTTTCCCATCACTTCCACACCCCTACAACACCCCTTCCACACCTCTTCCACATTCCTTTCCCATCACTTCCACACCCCTACAAGTCCTTTCCCACACCCCTTCCACACCCCTACCCCACCCCTTCCACACCCCTACAAGACCTTTCCCACACCCCTTCCACAATATATATCACCAACACCTTCGACTCTGACTCTTCCTGAACCCAAGTTTGTTCTTTTATTCTTCCTTTATAAACTCAAAAAGAATTGAGACCAAATTCCTCTGGTTGGGAGAACAAGGGAACTGGGGGAGGGTGGGGGGGACTGGGGACTGGAGGGACTGGGGGCTGAGGGACTGGGGGAGAGACTGGGGAAGGGACTAGGGAGGAGGAACTCGGGACAGGAGGGAGGGAGGAGGGAGAGAGAAGAGTGCCACCTGTCATCGTCCTCAGGGAGTGCTTGGGGGCGGCTCTCACACTCACCCTCCCTCCACCACCTGTCCACCAAGTGCCTACTATTATGTGCCTTTAACTACCCCTCAGGTCACTCTTTACATAATCTCCTCCCTTGACCCCAGCGGCCATTAGGCAAGGAGGAGCAATACGAGGCTTCCTGCGAGTGTGTGTGTGTGTGTGTGAGAGAGGTGATAAGGGAGAAAGAGATGAATCGTGGTAATATATGAAAGAAAGAGAGAGAGAGAGAGATATATATATAAAATGATGGATATATGGTAAGAAGAGAGAGAAACAGACAGACAGTTAAACATACACACACAATAATTCAGATCATTTTAGAAATCAGAATCTCTTTAGATATTGAATCTCTGAAGACGGTAGAGAGAGACAGGGGGAGAAAAGATAAAGTGGGAAGGAAGAGAGAAAGAAGGAGGGAAGAAACAAAGAGGGAAGGAAGAGACAAAGAGGGAGAAGAAATAAAGAAGGATGAGATAATAAGAGGGAGGAAAGACTAAGAGAAGGTAAGGTAGGTGGATAACATCTCTGGCCCCTCAGGAGTGTTTAAGAGGGCGTGGAGAAAGAAGGGGTTAAAGAGGGAGACTCAGGCGAAGACCGAAGGCCTTATGGGATACAGGATAATAAAGACTGAAAAAGACTACCACCTCAAGACTCACCCCACACCATCACTTCACACCCACACTTCACTTCATACTCACACCTCACCTCACACCCACACCCTCACTTCACACCCACACTTCACTTCATACTCACCCACACCTCACCTCCCACACCTCACTTCACACCCACCCCTCACTTCACATCCACCCCTCACCTCACACCCACACCTCACTTCACATCCACCCCTCACCTCACACCCACAACAGACCATAAACTCCTCAATCATACCACGCCTCCCCTCCCCCCCAGCACTAGTATTGGTATATTTCAACTCTAAACTTCGGCTTCCTGTCCCCTTACATCTATCAACAAAAGACAGATAACTTTGGAGTCTTTTTAACAACCGTCGAGTTATTTCTGTCACAGGGCCACGTCGCCTGGTGGACAGTAAACCTCGAGTCTTTACCTGCACTCTGTTTCTGTCTCCCGAGTTGAAATAAAAAAACCTGGTGGAGATAGACGGGGTATTTGATACTTTATGTTCTCGCATCAGAGCGGCTATCACATACATATATAGTGCATGTTAAACAGGAAGACGTCCATAGTGGATATCGCACCCGTAGTGAAGTTGTTTCTGGTGAAGTGAGGAACTTCCCCAGTACAAATAACTTCAGGAATAAATTGAATCTCTACAGCCAAACACGGTGTCAGATTCATGGTAGACGCTGCGAGATGGAAGGCCCCTGCTGAAAGGATCACCAGTTATATAAAGTTTATGTATATTCGTAAACGGCGGAAGCAACGGTACTCCTGAAGGGGCGTTCGTCCATATATATCGTTATATATTCACACACGCTCGGAGAAGAAGGGCTCCTCAAAAAAGGGGAACTCGTGTGTACTCTGTAGAGTCGTAAATACTGGGAGTAAGTATATTGAAGGGTGCTAGGTGCTGATCTGTAGTTCATATATTGGTAGACTCCCGGAAGACGAGTTTCTCCCGCACGAGTTGTTTACAGATATATAGATTCTTATAACCCAGGACGGCCCCAGAGAAAGTTCGCCTGAGTGGTGTTAAGTCACTCAGATACAGCTTTCGATGTTTATACACGCTAAGAAAAATATTTTCCGGGAAGATTTATTTAATGAAACTTTGCATAAACACAAATTTACTGAAGCTTTCCATAAACATATATTAATAAACTTTCCATTAACACATATGAACCGTAACTTCCTTAAAAACACACTTGAAGACGTTAAAAAAGGTCCCCATTAAACAGTAATCACAGCTCACATAATTTACATAGAGGTAAAATCCTTGAACGAAAACCTTCTCTTAAGAGCACAATTCACAGATATTTCTTTACATCCTGAAAACACTCAAGACCCAAGAGGTTCTCCTGACGGGGTACTCACCGATATGTAGTTCCCGCCGGCGCCGTGGTACACCTTGGAGTCGAGATTAGTCCAAGTCCTGAGGAAGTCCTTGACGTAGGGGCGGGTGGTGTCGACAATCCTAAACCCGGTGATGTTGACAGCACCAAACTCCTTGACGTCTTCCTCCCACCTCTCGTCCATCACCTGAAGGAGTGGAAGACGAGGCAGTGCATGAGTAAACCTGAAGAAGGGATTTACGAGAGGATCAGGAAGCATAAATAAAAGAAAGAGAGAGAGAGAGAGAGAGAGAGAGAGAGACCAGCAGAATGGGAAGACGAAAAAGTGGATGGGTGATTGAGGAATGGAAACACAAGTGGAACAAGAAAGAAAAAAGAGAAAGATAGAGAGAGAGAGAATGTAAAAGAGTGAACACTGCCGACAGAAACTGAAAGAAAAACCTAACACAAAGAAAGAAGGAATAAAACGAAAAAAAATATGGAAGAACGACAAACAGAAAGAGATAGAGAGAGAGAAAAAGACCCAGTAGCGAGTGAGGAAATAGAGAGAGGGAAGGATTAAAGAGGTGAAAACCATTAAACCCAACACGAATTCTTGTTTGTATCTAAACTAAACCAACAACACTGGGTTTAACGTGGCGTCTCCTTCCCTGGCAAGTCTTAGTAGTATTCTCCCTGGCTGACACACACACACACACACACACACACTAGGGTAGAAAATGCAATGAATGGATTTATCTACTTTCGGAGAGAGAGAGAGAGAGAGCGAGAGCGAGAGAGAGAGAGAGAGAGAGAGAGAGAGAGAGAGAACAATAACAACAACAAAAACAACAACAGCAATAATGATGATGATGATGATGATGATGATGATGATGACACATATAATCAACATTACCTACAAAACAAGGCAATCCAATCTCGATGTCAGTAACCAATTGATCAGCCAATCACGTGACACCAATGAATTCTTTGATTATCTCGCCAGCCAATAGCCGAGGGCATTCATTTCATCACTGATTATCCACACTGATACCTCGTCTCTTTAATTGCATTACTTTTGAAACTAATTACTAGTTCTAATTAATGACGAAATGATTAATTTGGATAATAATGACGCCTGTGTGTGTGGGGGGGAGGGGCTGCGTCATAAATCAGCCAATCATCAAACTTCCCCTTGAATTGCGTCATCAGAGACTATAGTGCCTGGACCAATGAGATTGATGCCCTGAAACTATCGGGGACTTGTGAACGCCGTAAGTTTTAAGATGACGTGAGGGACAGCCAATCAGAGACACCTACACGCCAGGGAGGTTGTGACAAAACACTTTCCTCTTTTTCATGATCCTCTGACTCATCCTTGTGTCATTATCATCATCATCATCATCATCATCATCATCATCATCACGACCACCGGAGGAACTTGGTCTTATACACAAGGCTGGTGACGTTGGCCGGAAATTCGACAAAACGAGACGATTCTGAATACATCTGTGACAGCGACTTCACCACAACACACCGCCACACCCTTAACTTAACTTAATCTAACCTAACCTAACCTAACCATAACCAGCCTAACCTAACCTAACCATTAACTTAATCTAACCTAACCTAACCTAACCATAACCAGCCTAACCTAACCTAACCATAACCAGCCCAGCCTAACCTAACCTAACCTAACCTAACCATAACTAGCCTAACCTAACCTAACATAACGTAACATAATCTAATCTATCCTATTCGAACATAACCTAACCATACCTAGCCAAGCCTAACCTAACATAATACTCCTCTCTTGTAATACTCCTCTCCAATATCACTACTCGCCACATAATACTCCTCCTCCTCCTCTCCCCACATACTCCTCCTCCTCGCCACATAATACTCCTCCTCTCCCCACATAATACTCCTCCTCTCCCCACATAATACTCCTCCTCGCCACCAAATACTCCTCCTCCTCGCCACATACTCCTCCTCCTCTCGCCACATACTCCTCCTCCTCGCCACATAATACTCCTCCCGGATAATATTCCTCAGGCATCATCAAACAGGAGAGCATTTCAAACAGGTCATTACAGCTTCCCACTAATCATGCGGCTACGGGTGGTAAACGACATGCCCGGGTGTTACCAGTCTGAACTATAATGCTTGCGTGTATTTCAAGTACTGTTATAAGTCTTGTCCTGTTAATTATAAACTCATTCTGCTTGGGTATTATTATTGTCATTATTGTCATTATTGTCATTATTGTTGGTGTTATTATTATTATTATTATTGTTGTTATTATTGTTATTGGTATTATTATTATTATTATTATTATTATTATTATTATTATTATTATTATTATTATTATTATTATTATTATTATTATTATTGTTGTTGATGTTTTTGTTATAAACACTCACTATCACCAACACTCACTACAAGCTGAAAGAGTCAGGTATCAGAGGTCTGGCTGTGGTATCGAGGCCTCAAAGTTCGAAGCAATGACTCCAAATCCGACACCTTAAAATTACATGTTCGGAAGATTCGAAAGAGAGTTCATAGTAATTCATATTTTGGGAGACCGAATCCGAGCCCGAATCCTCAATTTTGTTTTCTGAAAGTTCGAATCCAAATCTATTTTTTATTTTATTTTTTATTTTTTAATTTGCTGTAATGCTCTGTAACTAATTTGGACTGCATAGAGTAAATATCAGAATGCTTTATTAACAAATCAGACTGAATAAATTCCCCTAATAATCTATTGACCAATCAGACACGATACGAAAAATGACGATTATATAATCAACAAATTGAATAAACCTAAAAAAAAAATGAAATTCAATACTTATTATCAACTGGCACACGTTCACACGCTTAGCTAACTAGACTAACACACAGATCTGGTCATTAGCTTCGTAAAACAGAAATTATTAAAAAAATCCTTCAAGTGTAAAAATTATACATCAGTCAGACCAGGACAGGTGGGTTGATGAGCTGAACAAAGGTAACCAAAACACTCACCACAAATATACGTAATTTTAACACAAAGCTGAAAATCTATTTGCGTTCTGTTGACAAGTTTTAATCACAACATTTAAAAGCTTTTGGGGCAATTTAGTGACGACACACACACGCACACACACACACACACACACACAAGAAAATCCACTGAACTGTTAGCGATAGGCAGTGAGAGGTAACAGAACGAAGTGGAGGGCAGGTAATAATTGGAAAAAAAAATGTTTTGGTAATCAGATGCCTCTCTCTCTCTCTCTCTCTCTCTCTCTCTCTCTCTCTCAATATGAAACACAAACACGAGGTGTATTCAGGAGCGAGAGAATGACTGACTATCTATGGAGAGAAAACAGATGTGCCAGAACAAGGAAAAGCAACAGACAGACAGACAGACACAATAAGATACACAGATAAACAGACATCAAATAAGGAGTGGCAGTGACGAGAGAGAGAGAGAGAGAGAGAGAGAGAGAGAGAGAGAGAGAGAGAGAGAGAGAGAGACGTAGGAGCAACTGGCCGTAAAACCAGCAGAGGCGCGTCAATATATTCATACGAGCATTTACACAACTCTATGCTAATGAGAACATAAACAAACGTAAGTGCTGAGGTGAGTGGGAGGGTGAGTGGGATAGTGAGTGGGAGGTGGATGGTGAGGTGGATGGTGTTGGATGATGAGTGGGAGGGTGTGTTGGGTGATGAATAAGAGGGAGTGTTGGATGATGAGGGATTGTGGGATGGTGAGTGGGAGGAGAGTGAGAGGGAGTGGGAAGGAGAGTGAGAGGTAAGAGTGGGATGGTGAGTGGGAAGGAGAGTGAGAGGTAAGAGTGGGAAGGAGAGTGAGAGGTAAGAGTGGGATGGTGAGTGGGAAGGAGAATGAGAGGTAAGAGTGGGATGGTGAGTGGGAAGGAACAGTGAGAGGTAAGAGTGGGATGGTGAGTGGGAAGGAACAGTGAGAGGTAAGAGTGGGACATGGTGGAATGAGAAGGAATAATGGAGAAGAAAGAGACACACTGATAAATGAGAATTGACTGACAAATGGAAGGAAGGGGGAAGGACAGAAGGACTGAATAGACAGAGGGATTTAGATAGAAGATTGCTGAGGGAATTGAAGATTGAATGAAGAGACCAGACGATAAATGGGAAGATGAGAAATTGATTGAATATTTTCTTTATCTATCTATCTATCTATCTATCTATCTATCTATCTATCTAATCAAGAGAAGTGATATTATAATGGAAGAAAAGCAAAAATTGAAAAAGATTGGATTGATACACAGAAGTTGACTGAGATTGAAATTGACATAAAACAGAAGCGAAGATGGATAAAAGCGAGGAATGAAACCTGTGGGTAGGGAATGGATTGACTGGATGGATGGATGGATGTGTGTGTGTGTGTGTGTGTGTGTGTGTGTGTGTGTGTGTGCATAAAAATCTTCGCATTTCCTCTTAACGCTTTGTTTATTTCCATAGTTGTATATCTACCAGTAATAAACGTGTGTACATACATCTAGGTTTGTTTATCATAGTGACTCGAGGTGTATTTGTTTGTGTACACGTAGCAATATATACCTCAAGGGCATACACACCGCTACAATACATGAATACACGGAAGTAAGTTACGTAGTGCTTAACGAAACATAACATATACAAGTTACCTGACACACACACACACACACACACACACACACACACACACACACACACACACACACACACACACACACACACACACACATACACACAGGTAGACTAAGGTGTACTCACGAGGCCAGACAAGAGGTAGTGGTAGTTGCGTCGGCCCATCTGGACATCCTGCACGTGGCCTATGATGAGAGTCTTGGCCATCTCCGTACTGCAGTCCAGCACCACGTACTTCCTCGACCACCTGTAGAAGACACAACACATTCAGGTGAGTTTAGGTGATTATTAAAGGTATGTCTATCACCTGAGGGAGGCAAGGTGAGTTTAGGTGAAGAGTAAAGGCTTCCTCTAACACCTGTGGAAATCTGGGTGAGTATAGGTGAACGAAGAAGGTTCCCCTACCGCCTGAAGAAGGAGAAAATACCTACTGGCACGTTAAGGTGATTAATAAAGGTTCCTCAACGTCGTAAGAGTGATGTGTAACCCAACAGGTGAGCTTAAAGTAACCAGGAACCTGAAGGAGGAGAAGACACAACGCCTACAGGTGACTGGGGAAGGTTCCTCTCCTCTGTCAGTCTAAGGAGTTGAGAAAGTATGCGAGAATGATTAGGTGACAAAAGGGGGGGGGGGTGGTCTGGTGAGGAGGGAGGAGGGAGGTGCGTGAGAGAGAGGGAGAGTAAGAAAAGATAGAGAAAAAACGAGAAAGATTATAAAAAGAATAAAGAAAGACAGATGGAGGAAAGAGGAAGAGAAAGATAAGAGAGAGTCCCCTCCCACAAGGTATCGAAGCGAGGCAGGTCATCTTAAAGGAGATTCTCTGGGCAAGGAAGACGAGGATAGCTAAATCCAGGATATCTCTTGATACTGCCAGGTGGAAATAGTATACTGGGGAAGAGAAGTGTTTCATTCATTACTAGAGAGAGAGTTAAGACCGCCAGGTAAGAGGGAGGATCATAGGTACAGTGAGTTTGTTGACATAATTACCCTCCTTCAACAGTTAGCTCCTGAAGGTAATACAGCTTTGACAAAACACTTAATGATCTGGACCAATTTCTCATCTTTCACCTTCAGTAGTGATTTTAACCTTTGTGATTCAGATTTATTTCCCTTGTTTGCTGATGATGGATAATATTGTAGTTCCATCAATATACCTCAATTAAAAGCCGTGGTTTGGACCTCTGACCTACCTGTGACCTTAACCTATGTCAGAGAGTCTTGTGAAGGTATAACTCATTAGCACGTAATTAGCAACAGATAAGCGACGGTAGACTCGATAAGCCTCCCCAAAATTAAGCTTCATTAGTCGGTTTGAAGAGACAGTTATAACAAGACAGAGTTAATGACAATGTAATCTGGCACAGGTGAGAGTAGTAATTAGTGAAGAGAGAGAGAGAGAGAGAGAGAGAGAGAGAGAGAGAGAGAGACCATCTTTCTCATTAACAGGTAAATGTAGTTTGTGAGGGAAGAAGCACACGTCAGGGGATACCGAGAGTCGCATCACCTGTCATTTGCTCACCTTAATTACTCTCTGTCTAAATTTAATTATGGAATTGCTTTCAGGTGCAAAAAAGGTGATTAAATAACCTCACACAGAGATTATTTATGCTTCTATCACCTTTTTTTTCATCTTTTTCCTATACACAATGAAAAAAAACATAAAAAACGAAAACAAATGAAAAAAAAGGAAAAAAGAAAAAAGAAAACAAGAAATATATAAAATAAACGAAATAGCGATAAAAAGTAAAATATACGAAAAAAAACGAAAACGAAAAAAAACGAAAAAAACGAAAATAAACAGACAGACAGACACACCCTGACTCAGATAATTAAATCAGACAGATAGACAGATAGACAGACACTGGGATAGACAGCCTCATACCATAATAGTTCCGTCTCTTGGGTTGAAGGCTTTTGCTCTAATATACAGACAGACGATTATCGTGGGCGGAGATAAAACAGGTGGTGGCAGGTGGTAGCCGAGGCGAGCCACCTGTGGGCAGCAACAAAGTGGTTTAACTCTTGATGGAAACTCTCGTGACCAGCTGGGTAGAGCCAAGACACGACTCTGGGAAATTTGTAAGTTATATATATATTTACAGTATCTTGTCTTAACGAGAGATTAGGGAAACCACTTTAGTTAACTAGAGTCTTATTGTAACTCTGACGCCATTTTGAAAGCATTATTTTATTGTCTTAGTTAATTGGAGTCTTATAGTAATTTTGACGCCATACTGACAGCAATTTCTCCTTTATATTGTATTTTGTCTGACTAAGGTTTGTTAACTAGAGTCTTGCAGCGGTTCTGACGCCATTTGGTCGGTACAGTAGAGTATCAGAGTAACTTCAACACCATTTACACCATTTGTCACCTTAGCTGTAGTGAGCCATTTACAGGAGCTCTGACACCATCATCTAGAGGAGTTCTGGTAACACCACTCATACCACCAGCTACAGGAATTCTGACACCACCAGTTACATGAGTCTGATACCACCAGTTATTTGAGTCTGACACCACCAGTCAGATGAATGTTTTTAACTTACGAGATGCTGGCAGTCATCGTTCAGGTAAACTCTTGTTCACCCTGACACCCAGATATATATACCAAGATAACTGACATCCTGACACCCAGATACCTAGATAATCTGACACTCTGACACCGAGATATACTGACACCCTAAAATCCATATATACTGATACCCTAACACCGAGATGTACTGACACACCTGACACCTAGATATGCCGACACCCAGATACCAAGATAAACTGACACCCACATAACCAACTACCAAGTCAACTTTACCTTCCTTACTCTTCACACGCTCATGACAAATAAACAATGTAATCTTACGTTAAGCAATAGGGCAAATTATCTTAGCTTAGACCCAAGTTACCTGTACCTGTCGTAGAAGCTACAAGTTAACTATACCTGCAAGAAAACTACGCATTAGCTTTATCTGTTGGAGAAGCTATAAGTTAGCTTACATATATGACAAAAGGACCCATGTGTGGTCATAGCTGGCGAAATGTACAGGGGTTTTGTTGAATTATTTAATAGTTTATATTAAAAGATGGTCACTAATTTGAGCGACAATCGGAACTGAGAGAGAGAGAGATTCAAACAGGATTCTCTATTCTCATCGCTAATACACACACAAGTTGTCTTTGAGGGCTTAATATGTATTTTCTTCGCTTTAAATAACTTTGTATAGTATAGGAATATATACAACTATACACACATACTACCTATTTATGTATAAGTATGTATAAAAACTCCCATCAGGTTCCTAGATGCAAATATAAAAGGATTAATCTGAACTTCTATTAATCCAGTTTAATTAGGATTTTACTTCGAGAGACTTTGTTTTATCCAGCTTAGTTTAGTTTAAATTGATGCGGTTCATTTTATTCAGCTTAATTTGGGGATTTGGGCTTTTATTCAGCTTAATTTGGGGATTTGGGCTTTTATTCAGCTTAGTTTGGGGATTTGGGCTTTTATTCAGCTTAGTTTGGAATTAATGCTACAAAATGTAACTTGGATTTAATCACAACCTACTCAATTATCCCAGCTTAGTTTGGTCCTTGCTGTAATTTAAACTCTACCCACAGCTTAGGGCCTTAGGCTGGCCTTAAATAATGCAAGTAAGCTGAATTCACACCTAAGACTCGAGTTACCCACAGCTTAGAAGGTCCAAGTTTAAAATCCACCTTCTCAATTACCCAGCTTACCACGGCCAGGTGTCAGCTTTATTGGTCACACAGTAAAGGGGAATGTTAAGCTTGGTAGTGTTAAGCTTGGTAGTGTTAAGCTTGGCAGTGTCCAGCTGAGTACTTGAGGGCAGCAGTTGTTGCCCGGGGCGGCCTCAACCTACTGTAGGAGTTAAGCGACTGTCAACAACCCTCTATTGATCCCGTGTGACGCCCCCCCCCCCCTGCCACACACACACACATACACACACGTGCGTACATGCATGCACGCACGCACGCACGCACTCATATATACATTTACACATGTAAAAATATGCATATCCATAAATACACACGTGTATACTGTATATATAATGTGTGTATGTATGTGTAACACTACCGCATACTGCTGCAGACACATAAATATAGAAGTGCACAAACACTAAGACTGAGATACACACGCCGTAATGTACACATACACACAGAGAGTTTATTTCACACACACACACACACACACACACACACTTTCCTTCCTCCCTCCTTACTTCAATTCCCTCTCCCTCCTTCCCTCATCACTTCCCCCTCTCCTACCCCGCCCCTTCCTCCTCTTCTTTCCCTTCCTCTCTCTTCCCCATCTCTTCCAGATTACCCATTTCCCTCCCATTCTCGATTTCTTTCCTTTTTCGCCCCCCACACACACACACGCACACACACACACACACACTTACACACATATTGATTATACTCTCTCTCTCTCTCTCTCTCTCTCTCTCTCTCTTACTTACAGGAGCCAATCGTAACACACCCCTTAAATTATTCTACAGGTCACGTGGTTACTAGACAAATAGGAGTGATTCCCTAAACTAAAATGGGTTATGTTGTGTGGTTGTATGTGAATAGGAAAATAGGGATTAAATATCATGAATCGGTATGCGGATACATCAATCGTCATGGGGTAAGGATTTGAATATTCTGATAACTATTGCGAATTTGTTAATGACATTCCAATAATCTAGTAAAGTGAGCTGGGTGACTATGTTAGTATCTTCTTCTTCTTCTTCTGCACTTCTTCTCCACTTCTTCTTTTCCACTTCTTCTTCTCCCCTCCTCTTCTTCACTTCTTCTTCTTCACTTCTTCTTCTTCTTCTTCTTCTTCTTCTTCTTCGTCTTCACTTCTTCTTCTCCCCTCCTCTTCTTCTGCACTTCTTCTTCTTCTTCTCCACTTCTTCTTCTCCACTTCTTCTTCTCCCCTCCTCTTCTTCTTCACTTTTTCTTCTTCACTTCTTCTTCTTCTTCTTCTTCTTCTTCTTCTTCTTCACTTCTTCTCCACTTCTTCTCCCCTCCTCTTCTTCTGCACTTCTTCTTCTCCACTTCTTCTTTCCACTTCTTCTTCTCCCCTCCTCTTCTTCTGCACTTTTTCTTCTTCTTCACTTCTTCTTCTTCTTCACTTCTCCACTTCTTCTTCTTCTCCACTTCTTCACTTCTTCTTCTACTTCTTCTTCACTTCTTCTTCTTCACTTCTTCTTCTTCTTCTTCTCCACTTCTTCAATTCTTCTTCT